CTCTCCATGAGCACCACTACCTGTAAAACATTTACACAGAGTAAAATGCTTTACAATTCATGTTGTCAGCATTCCATTTCTTGCCAAATTTCATTTCATGTTTACAATTACATGCTAATTTTTGATATAGCTGCATTATTTTTGTGGTGTAGTGGGTTAAAGCACTGAGCTGGTAAGCAGAAGGTTACTGGTTCGTTCTCTGCAGTCGTCACCACTGGTTGTCTCCTAGAGCAAGGCTCTTTACTCCAGGTGGCTGCAGGGGGATTGGGGTGCCTGTAATAAGAGCACTGTAAGTCACTTCGGATAAAAGTGTCTCATAAATGTAAATGTGATTTTTGTAAATCCCTTTTTGTGTCTTAGGCACAGACACTCAATAAAGCTGCTTATTTCTTCAAGTTTATTTCTTCAAGGTACTACTATAATATAAATGCATACATATATTTCATACAGTTTCTATTTGGGGGGTTTAAAGGGTTAGTTCAGCCAAACATATAAATTCAGTCATTATTTGCTTGCCTCAACGCTGTTCAATCCTTGTGCTGCTGTGGACTTCTCCATCCTCAGTGCACACACCAGTCTGCAGACACTTCAGATCCTGCAAAGATGCACAAACACAATACAAAAACAGTCATTTTAACAGCACAATGTCATTTCATTTCTGTATTAGAAGTAACAAAATTATCTTACTTTATGTTTTTATTTCAGGTTTTCTCTTTTTTCCACAAATGCCGCCGTCACCTTTCCTAGCAGGTCCTGCTCCACCACAAAAGCTCTGCAGCAAATGCACAGGAAACAGGAAGAGTATCCATCGATGAGCACTTCAGAATCTGGGCTGAAGCAGTAGGATATCCGGGGATTTCTCGCCTACTCTTTTATGAATACTGCGGTTTCGAACGCACTTCTTTCTTCACATACTCTTTTCTCCTACTATATAGTAGGTAAGTAGGCACATTCAAACGCAACTTAAGTATACGTACACGAATCTCGCGAGAATTAGTGCACTCGCCTACTCTTTTATGAATACTTAAGATTCAAACATACTTATTTGCTCGCCTACTGCTTTTTGCCTACTATATAGTAGAGAAGTATGCGGTTTCGAACGCAGCCACTATATCTGATTCTAGAGTGACTTTTACACTATTCTAAACTTTCTTTCACTATTGTCTATTGTAAACATACCCACATAGTGAAAAGCATTTAAACATTCTTCTGACCGCCGTTATCAGTCTCTCTCAATTTTTTTCCTTTTATTGAAAGTCATGAAAACACTATCGTGGAGTTGTTCTTTTGCTATTTGAGCAAATGGGAATGCAAAAAATATATTTGTGGTACTCTCCCAATCACTGCTATTCAAGTTAACACGACATCCGCTGCTGAGAAACCCGGAAATGTGAAAAAGGTCCATTGAGGAATTTTTTTCTGCCTGGAGGTGGAAAGTCTATGATCATCGACCACGTGATCAAATGTCCCTCCTGGATGCAATAGAGGCTGGCTGCAGAGACATCTCAGCTGAAGACTGCCAGGGATGGATAAGGCATGTTAAGTGTTTCTATCCACACTCTAAAAAATGCTGGGTTAAATACAACCCAGTGCTGGGTAAAATAGGGACAAACCCAGCTATTGGGTTGTTTTGACCCAGCGGTTGGGTTACTACCCAGAAGGTTGGGTTAAACATTTAACCCAACCGCTGGGTCAAAACAGCCCAATTGCTGGGTTTGTCCCTATTTTACCCAGCACTGGGTTGTATTTAACCCAGCATTTTTTAGAGTGCAAGGTGCATAGCAATAGACAATATAAGGTCGACGAGAACATGTGGCCAAATGCTGAAGATCGTATAGATTAGAACTGTACTTTTTCCGTTCCTTTTTTGTCTGTCATTTTGTTTTATTTTTGAAATGTATTTGAACCAAAGAGCAAAGGGCTGTATGTTTTTTTTTGTTTGTTTGTTTTTTATGATCACTGACAGCTATTTCATTTTGCCAATATAGCTTTTACTGCAGCAATTCTGTCACTTTTCTTTTACATTCCATAAAGTACTGATGACTCCTTCACTATGCTGTACACATACGATCTAAAACGAATCCACACATTTACACACAAAAGATGTAGAGCTCAGCTGACTGAATTATTATTATTATTTAAATGCATCTCATATTGTATGTTCTATACAGGTCAAACTGAAACATGACAAGTAATGCAGTTTTTGTAATGCCAATAATTGTTATCATTTTGACAGTCTATGCACTATGATTGACTCTATGTTCCTATTGGATAGAAAAACAGTGCTAATGTTTTGAACGAATGACTCGATTTTTTGAATCGGGGTTGCTGTGTTTTGATAGAGTTAGTATATGTAGAAAAATGTAGTCAGCATTTTGAAATGTAGAGTTTGTATTTATTTAACAAAATGTGATTTTGGCCTGGAAATTAACTATTTGGCTAATTGTGTGATGTAGGTGTGTTGCTGTGTTAAGAGTTTAGAAAAAGTACTTTAAGTACTGGTAAATGCTTGTTAGCAATTGAAAAAAAAAACTGTAATATAATTTAAATTATGTACATTTTGATTTTAGTAATCCTTGTTGTGCCCTGCACCATGTTTCACTGTGTACAGGCTGTATAGAGCTGAAATGACATTTCAAGGATCAGCACACATTAGTAAAAGCATCTTCTCTGGTCTGTGGTTTCATCACAAATACTATGATATCTACAACGCAGTGTAAAATAAAATGATAGTTGTCATTTGTGAGATTCCATTGCAGTAAAGCCTATAGTCACCCGATACACCTTTTAATACATTTATTACATTTTTGGAAATTTTGGAGTATTATACAAAATACATTTTTTTTCAAGATTTATTTGTGTCTATATTGGATACAACATTGGTAAAACAATTTTATAACGATAAATAAATACTAGCCACTTATTCATTTAGATCAATCAATGAAATCAATCTCAGTTGGCCTGACTACAGACTCCTTTATGACAGGCTTCACAGTGAGCACTTTCATGTGGCCCATTAACTCTGCCATTGAACACTGAGGATCTGTTCGTTTGACCCAGGTCTTCTCTGTAGCATTTCATGCGGATATTTCTAACCAGTCTCTCAATCAGCACATCAATGTTTTCCACTGGGAAGTTTGGATCCTCCCACTGAGCTTCGGTGCATCTCCTGCACTTCTGCTTGAAGCGTCGCACTTTAATGGTTCCCTGATTCCTTGCTGTGTCCAGGTGGAAATTGAACAGCACCTGGACTCTTTTAGACCCCCAGCCTTTTCTACAAAGAGAACACCTGAACCTACGAATGAAATGGAGAATAGATCCGTTTAGTGCACTCTGATACTTGTAGGACCGTTCATTAATACAGTAGGTTTGATGTTTTAATGATTAATTGGTGTATTTTAGTTTTTCTCAGGTTGGCAGGTTTAGTATTTCTAAATGCTGTAGTTGATTAAGTCTACACTGAAAATGTAACTGATAACGACTATAAACTTTTGTTGCAAGTTAACCATAATAGTTGTGTTTCAGGCAGCGATTGCACGTGACAGGTATGCACACGTTTATTTTAACGTAGGGAACCATCAACATATATCACAAATTGTCCTATTTTAGCTAATGGCTTAACTGAATTTTCGGTTTCAAAATGGTAACACTTTACAATTAGGTTCAATTTGTTAACATTAGTTAACTAGTTAACATTAACAATGAAAAAATGCATCTAGAGCATTTATTAATCTTAGGTAATGTTAGTTTCTTAACATTTACTAATACATTATTAAAACCAAAAGTTGTATCTGTTAATATTACTTAATGGACATAATCTTACATGATCTAACAATGAGCATTACTGTAACAAATGTACTGCTCATTGCTAGTTACTGTAATGCATTAACTAACGTTAACTAATGGAACGGTATTGTATGTATTGTTTTTACAAATATCATTATTTTTTATTTATAGACCATCAAGTCATTCAGATACCTCACTTTATGATGTCTAGCAGCTGAATATTAATAATGAAAAATTGAGAAACCAGAAATACTCCACTAAATAAACAATTAAGCATAAGACAGATTTGATACATGCATCATAAATCTTAACCCAGTCTGCACACACATTGTGGAAAGCAATGTTTGATATCTTTTAGTGTGGTAAAGTTGTGCTCTTACTGCGCAAAGGAGCCAGAAATGTACTGGTGCCAATCACGAGCTGGCCTGTGTTCCACAATAGTCTCATCAATTTCAATGTTCCAGGTGTCGTCATGAAGCTCGCTTATTTTCTCCTGTAAAGAAATGTTCCACAGTGATATCATGTCTGTTTCCTCACAGAGATCTCAAAGGAATGATGCTCTGCCTTGTTATCATCCACTATATATACAGCTAACCTCTCGTTTCACTAAAAACGAAACTGAAAGTAGCCTAAGTATCTGTTTTCTACAACAAAAGTGAACATTGCTTTACAAGTCAAAGTAACAGACACGGTGAATAAGGACTACGGCAGAATAAGTTACTTATGGCCAGTAATAATGTTTGAATGGTATTTATTATTTTACTGTATACAGTAAAATAATAAATACCTCCTGGAGGCTCCTGGACTTCCTGATGTCTAAACCAACAACTAAACTTTTATCATCTGCATTTCATTAAAGGGGTCATATGATGCGATTTCAATTTTTCCTTTCTCTTTGGAGTGTTACAAGCTCTTGGTGCATAAAGATCTGTAAAGTTGTAAAGACTAAAGTCTCAAATCCAAAGAGATATTCTTTATAAAAGTTAAGAGTCAGCCATGCCTACCTAAAACTGCTCGTTCTAACAC